CTCATGGAAGAGCAAGCATGAGAAACACACAGAACAACCCAGCCCGGAACAGCTAACCCTGGTGGACTGCAGGCTGAAGACACAGGACTGAAATGCACGCGTATACTGCACATTGCTGTTTATACATGAAAACACAGCTCTCACCGTAGAGTAAAAGAGTTTATTCTGGAGGCAAATATGAGTGACTAGGTAATAGTTTCATAGCAAGAGAATAAAAAAGTCATAAGCCAAAATACCTTTCAAATACAACTTTGGGTACCTCAGCTACAGCAGTGGAGAGCCTTTACTGCAGGCCCTGTATGCTATCTGATGACATTCTTAGCCTTTGTGTGGGTGGAAGTGAGGTGTCTGTTATTCTAGAAGGCTTTACCTGGTTCTCACCAAGATGTTAGGTCCCAAACAGAAATGGACAATAAGTGCTGTTTTAAAAAGTGAAAACAGCAGAAGATGAATTATAATTAGGCTCTGGACCTGCAAACTTCAACTGCCCACAATCACTGAAATTCTAATTCATCAATCAGCCTTGCAGAATGTTCTTTGGGGGAACTTCAGTACACATTGCTGAGATGGTGAGTTTGTTACATGGTGGCAGGTGATCATTGTTAATTAGTTAGGAATTAATTACTGGTACATTGACTCAGGTTGCTTAATCTGAATCAATCTGCCCAGAGCCTCCTTCCTGCCTTACAGACTGGTTCAAAGATGACCTGATCACCAAAGTGCAAAGGACGATATGATGGCCAGCTTTGGCTTGGAGTTGTCCTTGGATATGTTAGATTCCAATGAGAGACAATGGACTCAATGAGCCTGACCTAATAATCCCAAATTCTGTCTACCTCTGAGAATCTCAGGTATGAACCTAATAAAAGGTTGAAATTTGGTCTTGTGTTGTTGATGAATCATACACATCCACCAGCAAATGGAAACATATTTGCAGTTCCAAAATAATGTCTGAGTGTGTACATTTCCCGAGAGGAGGGAGGCACACAGTGTTCTGCTGTGGCTTGCAGAATAAAGGAGATGGCTCACTTAAGCAAAAATTGTTTCTCCTTCATATTTGAAACAGAATGCAACTCCTTGATTTGAAACTTAACTTGGACATTTGAATTAAGGAATTTTAGGAACTTTGGCTGCCAAGAGCAGGGAAAAGGAGAGAATGGGATAGTGAGAAGAACGAGAGGAAGAAGAGGGGGAAGCAGTTACATCCCTGAAGTAATACAGAACAAGAATGAGGTCCTATACCTGCCTTAGTGGCAGGGCACATCAGGGGCACAATCATCAAGCTCTGTGTGTTAACACCTAGAAAGCCAACAAATGGGTTAGTAGAAACTAAATCTGCACTGGGTTACCCTCGAAAAGCCAAGATCTCTTTCTTATTTGTCATTTTAGTGGAGGTAGCAGTGAATGGGAGACCCTGTCCTGAATGGTCCAGCACAAATGGGCTTCGGTGCTCATGTGTGAGTCAAATTCATGCTTGTGCTGAGTTACAGGCTGTAACCTCACAGCATCATTGTAATCATGGTCATCTAAGTGCTAATGGAATCAAGGATGCCACTGTGCTTCCTTAGACACATCTAAAAGTCTTTCCTCTTCCTTCTCCTCTTCTTCCTCCCTCTCTTCTTGCTCTTTCTGCTCTCTTACACTCTCCCTCTCCTCGCTCTAGTAATTACAAAGAATGGACTCTACATCTAAGTGAAGATGAGTCCCTTGTCTTCCCCTTAAGAGTTAATCCAGTGGAGCAGGTAAGGGGTCTGGCTAGGTAAGTAACACTAGGAAGGAGGACTCACCTTAAGAAAATGTGCTTTTCTTTGCGGGGAATCAGGGGTGGATGTTGAGACAGGATCTCACTATGTAGCCCTGGCTGTCCTGGAACTTACTATGCAGACCAAGCTGACCTAGAACTCACAGAGATCGGTCTGCGCCGGCTTCTTCAGTCCTGGGATTAAAAGTATACACCACACACCTGACTAGGATAATGTGCTTTTCTTTCCTGTAATTCCTACCCCTCTGGTGCAGTCCCTAGGAGCTGCCATGAGGATCAGCTGGGCTGGGAGATAATTCTTTTCTTCTCTTCTATTTCATTCAGATGCTGTCTAGAGCCCAAGCACGTTTTAAAGTCCTGAAGCAAGGCTTTGGGCTCATTTGCCCTTTTTCTAAACTTTCTTCACACTGTGTGGACATCTACACCTGGTGTCTGAATGCTAGGTTATCCTTGGGCAGCATGGCTTTTGTTTTGCTCCATTCTCCAACTTTCCAGGCAGCTGGGAGATTGCAGGCTCCCTGTCCTGGGGGTTTGTCTTTTAAATTCTAATAAATTGTCCTCAAACTTCTGTTTGAGTCTTGATCTTTGTCCTGGAACTTCTGCCTGTGACTGTTTTTAAATTCTTTAATTGGTAAAGAAAAAAAATCCATTCCTGCATCCCTGATGGCATCAATTAGCAATCCTAGCCACCACAACCAGAGTCACCTAGCCACCATAATCAGAGTCACCTAGCCAATACAACCAGAGTCACCTCGCCAACACAACTGGAATCACCTAGCCACCATGACCAGAGTAAGACAAACTGTCAGCTGATGCTAGTGGAGCTGACCAGTGACTTAATAAGTCAATTACCTTAAAATGATACCTCCAAATTGAAACAACCTGACCCTTTCAATTAGCCCATGTTAGCTTTAAAAGCTCTATATAAACAGTGCAGAAAGATACTTGTATTTGGCAAAAATGAAAATCATAGAGGCACTATTTTGTTAAAGGACATAAGGTTTTAATTCTAAGAGAATGAATTATAGAGGCTTTCACACTGTCTTAGCTAGGGTTTCTACTGCTGTGAAGAGACACCATGACCACAACAACTTTTATAAAGGAAAACATTTAATTGGCTGGGGCTGGCTTACAGTTTCAGAGGTTCAGCCCATTATCATTAATGGTGAGACATGGCAGTGTGCAGGCAGACATGGTGCTGGAGCTGACAGTCCTTACATCTTGACACAGAGGCAACAGGAAGTAGTCTCTCTATCACCCTGAGCAAAGCTTGAGCAAAAGAGACCTCAAAGGCCACTCCCACATTCAGCAAGCATTTAACTGAGTACTCATTAAGACTACATTTGGAGCAATGTAAGAGATGCCAAAGACATAAAGCCATTTTCTTCTAGGGCCTGAAGAAATTTGAAGACAAGATCCTGGGTAGTCACTGTGTTCTACTGAAGAGGCATGCTTAGGTTGCCATGGTAGCCCATGAATCAATTGGCATCCTTCTACATGCCGACATCCAGTTTGACATGCACCGTTTGCTGAAGATGCTGTCTTTTTACAGTGTGTATTTCTGGCTTCTTTATCAAAAATCAGGTGTTCATTGTTGTGCAGATTTACATCTGGGTCTTCCATTTAATTCCATTGATCAAACTGTCTCCTTTGATGCCAAATCCACTCAGTTTTTATTACTGTAGCCCGTTATTACAACTTGAAATCAGGGATGGTGGTATCTCCAGCAGTTCTTTTATGCTTCAGAATTGTTTTAGCTATCCTGTGTTTTCTCTTTTTCCATGTGAAGTTTAGAGTTGTCCTTTCAAGATCTGTGAAGAATTGTGTTGCAATTTTGACAGGGATTGCATTGAATCTCTAGATTGCGTTTGGTGAGATGACCATATTTACCATGTTAATCCTACAAATCCATGAGCGTGGGAGTTCTTCCCATCTTCTGATACCTTCTTCAGTTTCTTTCTTCAAAGACTTGAACTTCTTGTCACACAGGACTTTTAGTTGCTTAGAGTTACCCCAATATAATTATACTATTTGGTGCTATTGTGCAAGGTGGTGTTACCCTGAATTTTTATTCAGTCCATTTGTTATTTGCATATAGAAAGGATACTAATTTTCCTTTTTTAGTTAATCTTGTATCCAGACACTTTTGTGAAAGTGTTTGTCAGCTATAGGAGTTCCCTGGTAGAATTTTCAGGGTCACTTATGTGGGGTCATATCATCTGCAAATAATGAGACTTGGACTTCTTACTTTCCAATTTGCACCCCTTTGATCTCCTTAAGCTGTGTTATTGCTCTAGCTAAAACCTCAAGTACTATACTAAAGAGGTACGGAGTGAGTAGACAGCCTTGTCTTATTCCTGATTTCAGTGGAGTTTTGCCTTGACTTTCTCTCCATTTAATTTGATGTTGGCTATAGACTTGCTATAAATTGCTTTTATTGTATTTAGGTTTCCCCATTGTCGAGGTCTTTCCTCAAGTTTCCCTGCACCACACTAGGAAGCTTTCCAGAGAGCTCATGGTGCTACCCATGCTCTTGCACATGAACTTGGTGTACACAGATGTGATGTTCCATTTTTTTCAGTGTCATCTTTTATCCAGCCAAACTGTAGGTGTGGGATCTTTGTGTTTAGGAAGATTATTTTTCTCCCTCAAATACTGTTTCTTTTCCAGATGGCCCGTCTGCTAACATGTCCACTGGCCAACCAACAGTCATCAGTTTCTACTGTCTGGTCTCAATTCCACCACATTCTATGGTCACTGCCTTGTTTGTGGTTTTTTCCTTAGTATTTTAGGGCATTCACTCTCCCATCTGCACCTGAGGGACTTCTTCCTGGGTTGAGGATGCTCTTTGTTCTTCTGGGGCTCTATGAAGTTTCATTCATTCATTCATTCATTCTTTCTTTCTTTCTTTCTTTTTTAAGAAAGGTACTACTTCTGATTTCTTTATTATCTGTAACCTTTGGAAACTAATCACATGAAACTACAAAATTAGCAAATGTCTTGAAATCTGTATATAAAACATAAATTACCTCTAATTTCAAACTGTCATCTATTAGTGTACCACTCAATCTTTAAAAAAAAAAAAAGGAAAAGAAAAAGAAAAAGAAAAGAAAAAAAAAAAAAAAAACGGCTCCAAAGCTAGTTCTTTACAAATGGAGACTGTTCCTTCTAACTGTACCCACCCATACCCAATCTCCAAACACTTCATTTAATTGTCTTGATCATGTACATTTCCAAGATGAAATTTTATATTTCACTCCCACAGCTTCTGATTGTCGGAAAAGCCATGCTTTCCTTTATTAAAGGAGTTTGGTCCAGCTGATGTTGGTGTGTCCCTTCCAATATTCTTCATCCTCATCTTAGCTTCTGGAGGCATTTCTTCTGGTTCACCGTCTTCATCTTCATTGAAAGCTGCTGCTACTGAAAGGGTTTTTGGAGCAAGGGTTGGAACCGTTTCCTTAGGCTTACTTGATCCAAGTTTAATGGATATGGCTGATGCTTTCTTTGTCGTCTGACTACCTATGGCAAATCCAAACTTGGAGATCTTTGTAGGCTTTGTGGGGAGGTCCACAGCTTCCTCGTCAGCTGATCGCTTTTCAGCGCTGCAACTGGAACCTTCCCCTCCATTACTGGAAGAAACAGTCTTAGTTTTCACAGGTTTTTCTGCTTCTTCTTCAGGTCCTCCGGCGGCTCCGGCTCTCTGCGGCTTCTCCGGCTTCTCCTCTCCCGCCTTCCCTTCCGCCATCTTCCCCGCCGCGGCCTCCCCTGCAGCATGGGCCCTTTCTTTCTTTTTAATAGATCGATTTCCTTAAACTCCTCCTTTGGAGTTGCCGGCACGCCTCACCTCTTCTTCTGCTTCCAAATTCCATGCTTTCCTCAGATCCCCCGAGTAACTGCTGTTTCTGTGACAAGATCTAGCTGGTTCTTCACTCTTTCCATAATTCACGGCCCTTTCCTTGTAGCAATACGGGACAGCCGGATGTTGTCACATCCCATTTCCCAAAGCTGACTAGAGTTAGTTCTTCCACTCTGTAGCTCTCAAACATCTCAACCGTCCTCCCCCTGTTCAAAAGACTTTTGCCTCCATCCACACCCTGGAACTATCCCTGGATGTCAGAATGTCCTAAATCTGTGAGGTGTGACCTTCAGTAGCCTGAGAGAGTGGAGACAGTGATGGTGAATCCTGCCTGGGGCCTCTTATTCAACGGGACACAGCATGTGCAGAGTGAGGGGGTTGTGACACACCCCCACATGCATGGAATTCACACCGATCATATTCACCCCTGCTGCGACGCTTTCTTATATAATCACATCTTCCGTCTCTCATCCCCCTTTCCTGGTCTTTCCCAGTATTCTACTTTTACATCCAGGTCCCACCACACCCATTTCTACATACAAAAGAAACAGGACATTCGTAGTTAGGAGTCTTCTTGGTTTCACTTAAGGTGCATGATGAGGCTTGTCACTCTGGTGAAGATATCCATCTGAAGGGACCTGTTACGATAAATCTTTCTGCCAAAAGCCGCTGAGCCCCACTGCCACGTGTAAGCTTTATGCCAGCCGCCTGCCCAAGTTAGGCCCAAATGAATACACAGAGAGACTTGTATTAGTTACAATGCTGCTTGGCCAATGACTAGGATTCTCATCTGTTAGCTCAGTCTCAATTATCATACATCTATATATTTTATAAGACTTATCTTATCAGACGCCTTATTGGCGTCCCTCCTAGCTGCTGGATCACATCGTGCCGCTGGAGCAGGAGCCGAGGGGAAAGAGAGCGACACTTCCTTTTTCCTCTTCTTAAAAATGAGTCTCCTTGCTATGTCACTTCCTGTCTGGAACACCATTTCTCTACTACATTTCCCAGAATCCTCTTTGACTCCTAGTCCAGCCTAACCTGCTGTCTCATTGGCCAAGCAAGTACTTTATTTATAAACATACACAGAAGTATTTTCCCCATCAGGGACCAGCTTCCCTTTTGGCAGCCATAATGGCCAAACATGTGCTTCTATGACCTTGCCCTAGACACTAGAAAGTCAGATGCCTGCCTCGTGACAAGGAACCAATCAGAAGTTAGCTGGTGGTGCTATGCTTTACGACCTTGGGTGTGCTTTATGGACAAGTGCACAGCAATGACGCACAAAGCATAGCAACCACCCTGGGAGGGCCTATGGGCCATAACAACCAGTTGACCACTC